ATTTTGATAAAAAAATAAAAGTTATAAATATAAAAAAGTGAGATAAAGTACTACCAGTTTATTTTACAAAAAGTTAGTAAAATCTGTTTCAAAAGCAATCATTTAAGCATGTGTTGGAACTGTCATCCTTCGCAGTGAACACAAAATTTGTTATTTGTTCGCAATTATTAACGTATCATGGGTTTTAAAAAGGCTCAAATATTCGCAATTTAGTTTTTTTAATCATTTAAACCAGGTAAGGTCCGTAAATATGCTAAATCTTTTATGTATAGACACAATAATAAATGTACGGACCTTAAATCCGGTCTGCGAGCTGGTCATCATATTATCGATGTAATTTTCCTCATAAATGTTTTTTAGAATTAAAAATGGGTTTAAGATTACTAAGAATTTCTTTTGGTCTCGAAGAACGGTTGACCAATTGCAGCTTCCTCAAAAATAATAAAATTTACTTTATAAAAATATAGCTATGTGTGGACTATTAAATTTTGTTTAAAGTTTGAAGTGAGTTTCCATAATTACATTTTGTCATTTTAACACGGACAATATAATGAGCGGACGTCATTAAATTGTTGGTTGGGGTGATTAGCCAAATTTTGGTTAGCGTTTTACCATGCATCTAATACGATATTTCTGATACACATACAAAATTTGATAACAATTGGTCCAGTAGTTTCGGACATTATCTGTCTAATAAAAGTCGACACAAACGACAGACAGACTGAAACGGGAGACCACCTTTTTCATACTGTTGGGGTAATGAAACGTCGACATATATAAAAGTAGTCAGCGCCCGATGGACCCGGGTACAAATGAACAATTTTCGATAGGCAGCAAAGAGATGACGTAATTGTGTTTGCGCATTTGTTTCCATGACAATATATGGCAATTCAATAATATATTGTATATTATTGTTTAAAAATAAAATATAGGTGTGCGTTGCGACGCCGAGGTCATATATGCGCCATATTTGCATTGTATTAAATTAAGCTCAAGCTAAAAACAATGTCGTTTACAGAATTTCAATATCTCCATCCATTCTCAAGGTATAAAGACACATCCAGTGAATATAAAATTTTATATGTGCCATGTTATCATACTGGATTTTGGATCATACTGTATAAGGTAGAATAAGTAATAACAGCGTTTCCGAGAATATAAGCTTTGTTGCAAAAGATAAGAACTGTTTTTCCACAACGTTTTAAAATACCATACACTAATTATAAAATTCATTTACATAAAACCAAAGCCTTGATCTTCCACTACGTAACATTTTTATCATTAGATATGTGCACTTTGGTGCTGTGTAACCAGTGTATTCCACCTGCCCCGTTGAAGATGTTTTATCTGAGGGCCAAATTGCGACAATTGCGTCAATTTCAGTAAGAAAGTCATTTTCTGTGTTATCTATTTAAATTTTTAATCAAGTCCTACATGGTTTCACTATTCAAAAAGTGGCAAGAACGAAAAGTCGATAATGTTATACAGGTGTCCCATCATTTATGGCCTGTGATATTTGAAATTTTCAAACAAATGTTAGTATCCGCAGTTCTATTGTCTACCCAATAAATTACGTTTTTTTATACTGTTGAATGTCAGTTTCTTTTTCTTTGTTCTGTTTTAGAGTTAATAAATGTTAATCACCCACACAATTATGCAATGGTAAATCCTTTAAAGGCTAGAATGTAATTTACAAAAATGTGAGAATATTGTGGATAATTCGTGAGCTACTGTGATATTTTACGAGAAACAAATAGGTATATGATTGGAATATTGTACGATCAGATTGTTACGTTGAACGGGTATTTAAAATCGGCGTGGGTAAAACTCAACAATTTTCTTAATAAGTCAAATTTACACGACTAATCATACAGCGAACATGTACACAATAAGTCCGACTGGAATGGAGTTGACTAGACTCAACTTCTCCCATTGTCTGGACTTCACTTGTAATAATCCTCGTTCCTGACGATGACCTCTATTTAAACCTATACATTCCTCTGGATGGATCGCGAACGCCGCTTCGAGGTTTTTCTAGATCCCGCAAACGAAAACATCATCGTAAAGTTATTTGTAGCAAATTTCACACAACAAATGCCACGTTGATTGTGCTTCTGTGGCATATTTTTTTTTTGAAACGTCAAAGAAACAAATATTTGGACAAATATTCGTCAAACGATTCTATACAATAAGTCCTTTCAGTACACAAGTTATTGTAATGTCTAAGTTACACACTAAGAATAGACTTCATTGAAAATACTAATAATTTTGGTTGTAACACAACCATAAAAAGAAATTGACTGTTTTAATAGTTGCCATTGTTTTTTGTTATAAACAGAGTGATAAAACATTACTTTCGAAATCGAATCTAGAGTAACTTTCATCCTTAATTCTCATTTACGTAAAACAGGAGAAATAGTATTTATATAACTCGATCTTCAGATCTACATTGGAGACTGCGTATGTATTTTATTGATTTTTAGGTTTGAACAATCGAGCATCTTGCTCATTAAGCACTATTAATTAACTTTCACTCAAAAAGAAAATGATTCTTCTTTAAAGACAAGTTTATTAATATTGAATTTCTGTTTCATAGATTTTTTGCATCATAAGAAATATATAAAGCTTTTTAAGGAAATTTAATTACAAGTACCGGGAAAATAGGAGGTCTATAAAAGCATAGGACTCATAAAATTTTCACACATAAACCGAAGGGCTTAAAAGGGTCTCCATCAGGAAATTTGCTATCACTTGTTTAATATGCAAATAAAATTTTTAATGGTAAGAAGTTAAGAAATAATTCAGTTACTATGAACTTTGACTCTTATGAGTAGCCGTGTGGGTATAAAACGCCATAGATTACGAATAATTCCCACTGCGATCTCATTTAAAAACATTTATTGCCACGTAATGTTAATCTCTGCACGCAAATTGTTCATTTTGCAGTACATTGTAGATACCATGATTGAGTTTAAATTCGAAATCTTGAATTTTTAGGCGCTTTGTTATACAGCGAAAAAATGACCTTATAACCTATGAATCGTTAAGGAAAAAAACGACATGTAAATATATATACATACTGTATGTAAGTTTTTGTAATAAATTAATAATAATGATCATGATCATGTGCAATTAATTCCGTAGTAGAAGAAACGTGATGTGGTAGTGAACAATTATCATGAAGGTCATATTCTTGTTTTGATCGTGATAATTGGACTCTATATACTAGTTATTTGTTTTAGCGTAAGGTGCTAACTTATTGCATTCACATCTTCCGCAAACGCGAATTCCTCCATTAATTTGGTCAATTAGATTCACAGCCATGTCATCTGCAAAACGAAGTGGGAAATAAAAAATTAATTTAAATGTTCTCTGGGTTAGTCTGGTATTTGGGGTATTTAGAAAGAGTAAAGAATTCAAGGTTCCTCACTTTAAACAGTTTATTCCCACCTGTCTCCATTTCCCTCATTTTATTTATACACTGTTTCTTCATAACGACTTCTGGTCAGATTAACATTATTTTATTATGTTACGTAACGTAAACGTGAACTAGTTAATTTTCTTAAAAATATTTAGGCGCGTAACACAGCGTTACGTAAATCCGAACGTGACTTTATACGCGAGAAAATGATTTTCTAACGCAATTACAAAAGGCTGTTGCTTTAACACAAGCAATTTCCAAACACCAAAAAAGCGTCCGAGGTTTTTCTAAAAGATCTGCATGGGTAATTACAGTAAAACGTGTAACACATTTTTGACGCAATTTTTTTATATTATGCATAACAGGTATTTGGGTTTTCAGGGCATATCAAGCTAGATCTTTGCACTTCAAAAGCTACAAAAAGCTTTCGAGTCGTAATAGCCTAATATTATATGCTGATACATATTTATGGCGTATTCGCAAGAAAAATAAAACGAGCGAAATCTACATTTCCTTTGAATAGCGTGTAAATTCTGCTCTGTTTAAAGTGTGTGTGTATTTAGTATGAATTTTCCATGGGCTTCGAAAGCGACCAGTCGAATTATTACTTTTCATGTTCTTGCTGTGAAAAGGAATGCAGGATTGGTATTGTTCGCAAATTTCTCTGGGAATGACATTTATAAATTTTACATAAACCTTGTTGTTTTCGTGTGTGTCTAAGCAGACATTTGTGAGAACAAGCCGTTGAACATTGTCAAGGTTCAGCAATTATTAATAGTCAAGGTTATTAATTGTTATTATAAATGATTATACTTATATGGAGGCAAACCTACATGCGTGTTGGAAAGTCTTGTGGTTTCTTTTGCCACAGCAAGTTTTTGTGGCCGAATGAATTAAACATTTGTACATTTTTATATCTGTGTCAGTGTAGATTACTCTGTAATCTTGATTATTCTACTTATTCAACAACGGTGTGGGCATGCCCACTTACAAAAATTAAGGTAAAAAATACAAACCATGTAAAGATGAGCCACTTCATTTGTTAACAAAATTTAAAAAGATGTGTAATGAAGATCACGCTAACAATGTCCATTACATTTAATTTATATAATTTTTGTGGCGTGGGAGTTCCTGCAGAGTTGGGGAATATAATGGCAGCTATATTTTACAACATTTCATCCAACCGCTAAATCATGAGAGTTCCGTAGAGTAAACTTACACAATTAATTTAGATTCGGACAGAAAAAACGAATTTCATTCATTGTTCTTGCTTTTTTTATGCGAACCGACATAATAAAACGTTTTTTGTTTTCGAAGTAATTGCAAGCAGGTCGAAATTTTATTATTTTTAACCCCGCTTTAGCATATGGTCGAGTATGATCTATATTTATTCTAACAGTTGTTGTAAAACATGGCGCCCGTCGACTAAATACCCGTCGAAAATAGATTTCAAGTAGGAAAAGATGTAGGTACACATATGTAATGTATGTCTAAATTGTGAAGCTTTATCTGTCCAATTGTAATTGTGCATTAACTAAAAATAGTTAATTCATGGAAATAATGATTGTTTTTTTTTCAGACCGTGAGCAGTCGACCTCGGATCTGGTCGTCCTATTCAAATATACGTGCCAAAGATGTGCAAGGACTCACCACTATGAATAGTGCTGAAGAAATATCGAAGTATAAAGAAAACACCGATAGTTATTATTCACCTACGCTGTCCAGACGTTTGTTGGGTTATGGATACGATTTTCCAGAGAAGTCGCCCAAAAAGGATAAGAAATGGTCGATAGGGAGTCTCTTCCGGCGAAAGAAAAAAGAAGAAAGCGAGAGCAGTAGCGAAGAAGACTCACAAAAGAAGGGATTTCTCGGACGGAAGAAGAAAAAACCCGAAAAGAAAAAGAAAGCTCCAAAGACTGTAGGAACGTTCGATCATGTTGTACTTTCCCGAAATTCGCATTTGTATTCGAATGGTTTCAACGGATACGAAGAACCAGCAATTTTTTCCGATCCTAGCGGTAGTTTTAATGGTTATATTAGTAGAGCTGTCCCCAAGACTCAGGCGCAAGATATTACGAAAAAACCTCTTCAAAATACGTCTTTAGATGATATAAATAACTCTCGAAATAGTCTCGTTGTTGGTTCTGCGGATGCCTCCAAGAGAGGTAGAAAGGGGTTAGCGAAAGTTCGAGCGGAAGCTCGAAGGATTAACCTACGACACGATAGTAGTTCGGATGAAGATTCCCAAAGGTCTGCTTCCTCGTCGAGGTTTAGGAGTGATGAAAGTTTGGGGCAAATACACAAAGACACGTCGTTAAGTCGTAGGTCGAGGGCCGCACGAACCGAAAGGTACTTAAAACGTCATTCGAAAGACGGCGAGAATCCAAAGGATTATCTACGACTGTCGAAATCAGATGCCGAGAATTCCGCTTTGCAATGGAAAAATTCGGACGACAGTAACCGGTCGTTGAGTCGGAGTCCTTTGGTCCCAAAAGCAAAACCCAAAACGTCGTACTCCAGCTTATCTCAGTCACCCAGTATCTCAGGCTTATCAACCATACCCCCTAGTCATGGAAGTCATAATAGAGTTAGAGTTAGTAATTCCACAAGTAACCCATCTTATAAACCTCCGTTATCAATGAACGAGTATAATTACAGTACTAGAAAAGCCCCCAATGATTCTCTCGATAATCAACGTAGTTTGTCTTGCGATGCCAATATACATAAATCTGTATCCACGGAAATAGACCCGGAAATAATCCACGTTCAGTTTCCGCTAGGAAAACCAAATAATAGATATCGGAATTTGAGCTTAATCGACTCTCGTCACTTCAATTCTACTCATGCGAGGCAACCGCCGCCGCCGCCACCACGCGATCCCAGAAGACTAGTTACCGCCCAATATTACGAAAACGTGAGACCCAACACCTACTACTTGGACGGTCAGCTGAAATCAAAATCCCTGCACGCAACTTCGCAGAACAACACACCTCAGCAAATAAAGAAGTTCAGTTCGTTCAGCTTGACCCCGAGCTGTAGATCTACTTCAGAAGACCACCTTCCGAAAAACAACATCCAATTAATTCCCAGACCGTCATCTGCAACGCCTGACGCAACAGCTTCCCAGAGATACGCGCAACGATACCCGGAATTAAAACCAGCCTCGGAGAATTATAATTATCTGACTGACAAAAAACCGAGAAGTCGGAAACCTATATTTATTCAGACGAACAATAAAGTCGACGTGGATAAAACCGGACCGCAGAAGGTTTTAGACTTTTGGAAACAAAAAGACAAAGAAGGGGGCAGTAGTTTTCAGGAGAAGTTAAAAACTAAGGCGAATTCGAAAAGTCCACAGATGTTTACTTGCCAGACTCACGTACAAACTAAAGTCTTCCTGCCGAGTGTTCTTCCGAATGATATTAACTCCGAACATTTAGCCAATTCTACGGATCGTTTAGCTACTAACGAAAATTTAGGGACGAATAGCCCGTTTACGCCGATTTCGCCTAGCGAAAAGACGCCGCTAGTTGGCGCTAGTAGTTTCAGTAACAGTAGGGACGACGAAAACGACGACTTAAGGCGTAAGTCTTCTAATTTGGAGGAAGCGCTTGACGAGTTGGAGGCAATTTATAACAGTTTGCGACTAGGGGACGAAGATCTGTTGGAGCGTGCCGAACAAAGAGAGAAGGATGCAGCGGCGAAAAAACTGAAAGAACAGAAAAGGGAGTTGTACCCGAATTGGAGTATGTCTAGAGGGGCTTTAAGTGATTCGAGCTTCAGCTACGAACCTTTCGATTCTGTGGATTCGCCACGGCGCAAGCGCTTGATTAAGAAGAGTCAAACGATTGACAGGAGGGGTGATGACATGGCTTTCAGAAAGTTAAATAAAGAAAGAGCGGCGACAATTAATGATCCGCAATCCGTACTATCCAAGGTTTGTTACTTGAATGCGTCCCCTGTATATGGTAAAGATATACCAATTGAAAATGAAGTGCCAAATAAGAATTGTAGGGAACCGGACATCACTCTTGACGATGTCGTTTACAGAAATGTTAAATTTGCCAATAGTAGTCCGAAAGTTATGGAACCGCAGCCACCTTTCGGTATTCCCATAGGGCCGATAACGCCGGCCCCTAATAGCGACTATTTACACGCAGTCCCAGATAACCTCCATCGTCCCACTTTTAAACCACGCAGGATTCCCGACTTAGTGAAAGACGATTTGGCTTTCCGCAATTTGAGGAAAGATCAAAACAAAGAGCCGGCACTTCCACAGTTGTCGCCTGAGGATCTAAAGAACAACAATTCGTGTGAATCGAAGTTGGATTTGCATTCGTTGAAGAAGAAACGTGCCGTTAGATCGTTGTCTGCGAACATTGGCAGTCTAATCAATAGGGACATCTTAGCTAAGGGGTTAGAGAAATATAAATACAATAACAACAGTGAGAATAACGAGTCGAAGACACTAACTGATATCGCCGATGCCATGGAAATCGCCAGACAAGTTCTCAAGGAGAAAGAAAATAAAATTAACGCTACGAAAAGAGCGTTTCTAAGCGATACCGATACGAATAACGGGAATGACAGTATAGCAGAGAGTCGCATGAATTTCTTGAACAGTCTGAAGACGCCCAGTGAAAATTCGAAGGTGGCGCCGGCCGGAGATAACTATTTGCAAACGAAACCCCCCAGGGGTCTAACACCGGATCGAAGATCTCCAAGGTCACAGAAAGAATCGACTCCAATTCCTGTCTCTCCGCTCGAAGACAAACCATCGCGGAGAAACGATTCTAGAGATTCGTCTCTGGATGAGTTACTCACAGCTCTGGCTACCGAAGCCAGGGAAACAAACGAACGCATCTCTAACGAGTTGACTTTCTGTGAAGACAGTCAAAGAAAGAGTCCGACGCCGATCGACGAAAACTTGAATAAGTACGAATTGACGAAGACTTTATCTGACATCGACGCGGTATCAGAGCAGGCGAAGTTATGCGAGAAACTTCTAGAGGGGGTTGTAGATAGCACCGATTTAATGACTTCAACTAAACCTCCTACCGAAGAAGTGGAACAGATAGACGTTAAGCCTGTTCTGGTTGAATCCGTAGCTAACATTGTTTTGACACGCGACGACTCGAAAGTGGAGAAGATAGTGGATAAAAATCCGTGCGAGTCGGATCATGATTATGAAAATTTACTATCAGATCAGGAACTCAGTTTGGAAGTCGACGACGAAGAAATTAAGTGCACGTCACCGTTTGAAGAACACAAAGCCGAGTTGATAGCGACTTTCCAGGAGTTAAAGAAGAACGTCGATATCGACATCCCGTCAAGTCCGGCCACTGAATCTAAGGAAATCGATAACAAAGACGAACAGCTTCTTGATAGCGGCAAAAGTGAAAAAGAAAGCGATGAGACGGTTACAGGTGAGGCGTGTGTTGGTGTTTTAGATGCCGCTTCGTACAAAGAATGTGCCTATGTCGAATCACACAATGTTCCTAACCCTAAAACTTACATTTCTAACTGTGATATAATCGTAAATCGTTTTACTAATTCCGTGTGTTCGTCAGTAGAGAGCAGTACAAGTTTTCGTTCAAATAGTCCGGTAGCTGATAGTTTCGCAGACTTAGAGAATAGCGTTGGTTCCACGCAGCTAGATTCGCTAGAAAGCTTAAAGTCACCAAAATTGGTTTTAGAAACCTCCAAAATGACTAAAAACGATGGGAACAAACAGATACTCGAAAATCAGTCACTGATATGTCGTGATTCGGTTCCGGATAAGCCCGGAACTTCAGCCGATGCTGTTATGGATTTTCGAAGAATTAGTAGGGGAGACAGTAATTCGAACGAACCTGGGCACATTCTTGATGATGATGAAAAACCAACCCCTGCCTGGTACCGTGACCCCGCAACGCTGGCTGTTGCATGTTCTTATGGATTTGCATGCGCCCATCAGCTGGCTTCTCTCGATTTTGTAGCTATTTTAGGAATTTTATTTGCAGTTCTATCATTCATTGCCGCTTTGATCTTTTAAAAGTTTTGAATACCAGCATGTACATTTTTTTCGTGATTTTATTTTTAATTTATATTAGTTTTTGTTTGTTATTTTTATCACCTATTCTACCCGTACTGAATTTTAGTTTGTATGTATCAAAGGATGGTTTACTTATTTACGTATGTTTTATGGTAGATTTTGAACATATCAAATTGGAAACGAATTAATGCCAAAAATAATAATTAGTTAATGATGTAAAGTTCGTTGTACAGAGTTGTTATAATTAAGTTGTGTAAATAAAGTGTTACGAAAAATTATTTACGCTGATATTATTATTTGTTGGTGGCAGCAAATGAGTTATTCAATTATCGGCAACTCACGAATTAAATTTTCCAACAGATGTTGCAGGGAGGGCGAGTAGATTGACAGGTCAATTTATATTTTGTTTGGAATTCGTTGTGGTGGTAAATTGATCAGTTAATCGAACTGCGCTTTGCGATATTAAGCACCGATTTCTCGAGTTCATGTAACTTTCGCTATTCAAAATTAATGTAGGCGTAGACAACCATCAATACACGTGTGTATTCATGTCGGCCTTGCAATTTACCCCCAACTTTTCTTTTTCTGTTTTTTTTTTTTGCATCATTTGTCGTTACTTGCCTGTACCTTTTAACGTTACTACCCACTAGAATATTAAAACGCTTTTATTCAGCAAGTCCCATTCGATGTTTTTTGTTCTCATTTCATCTGAGAGCAGCTTAGCTGTAATAATCATAATAATTATGATGATGGCACTCGCGTCTTTACAGCACCAGAAAAACTAATTTGTGCAGACCACACAGCTAGCTATAAATGATCGCATTAGTGACGTCGTGTGTTTTATTGTAGGTATTCTGTAACAGTCGCCACCCACTTCCTTTACCGGCAACAAACTTCAGGTAACTGCCATCGTGTCTACCAGCTAACAACCTTTTCCACTATCTATATATTGTCAGCAGATAAACGAATTCTCGGTAGTGCTATATTCATGTTAATATTATCCATGTAAGCTACAACTGCATTCAAATATTTGTAATTTCAGTTGTTAGTCGTTTTGTACAGTTGCCGTATTCCTGTTTATCTTCAGTTCCAAATGATTGATGTATTACACTAGTGTATTTTTGGTTGCCTAACCTGTAAATTGTTAATAACGTATTGTGATTTAATTGTAAGAACTTGCCATTCTTACCACTAATTGTTCCGCGTAGTAGTTTTAATTATTACTTAATTTATTGTTGGTAATGTTAATAATTTAAATAAAGTATTTATTTCCTTATTTTGTGGGTCTTTGTTGAGTGATGTGACGAGAACATCGGGAAAGCGTGTGGTGTATTGTTAGCGAATGAATAGAAGGGACAGTCATATATTGATAATGTATTTTCAGAAATATTATAAGCAAAACAAATGAGACGGTGTGCTATGCTATCACTGTTGCTACTACTATTATGTTATACAGGTTATTAAAAAAATGAAGTTTTGAAAGTGTCAGTTTTTATTTACTAATTTTTACTTCATGAGCCAGATATAACGAATGAATAATAGAGATAGAATACATACATAAAACTTTTTTATGCATCCCTGCCAAAAAGTAAGTGACGTCATTTCAGAAAATTGTTAAATACAGAGTCATCAAAATTCATTGAGAGAGTTGGTAAACCTGAACTTGAATAATTTGGTTTATTAAGTTGTATAAAAATGTTAGCTGTCAGATTTGAAGTTTCAAATTTCAAAACTCAGTGGCGTCTTTTTCGATTTTTTTTTTTGGTAAAAATATTAGTTGTCAAGATTTGAAGTTTCGAATTTTTATCACGCCACTGAATTCATTGCCATATAACCTTAAACAAATCTGTCATAAGGTTGACAAACTTCACAACAAAAACAGGGGGTACCAACTCTCTCAATCAATTTTGATGACCCTGTACATAAATCGATTCTGTAAAATACTTATTGAGGCACGATGTTACTATTTTAATAAAAAAAAAAAAAAAACAACTCCATTACTGAATATATTCCTATGTGTAAAATTAGTTACAAATATATACATAATTATCCCAATAAAATGAAATGCGATTTATTGATTATTTCAGAAACTGCTACAGTTTCTGTGTTCTAGGAACATAATAATGTTAAGGTTACTTAAAGTATATTGTGTCTTCTGAAAGCATTATTAAACTAACAAACAATCTAAAATGCAAATATGTATTCACATGTATCCGGTATTTATTATGGTTTAGAGGGAGGTCAAGTTTGTTTGATATCGACGTTTTTTCTTGTACTTGCAACATTGAAGATCAATTTCTTGACAATTGAGAAAAGAACTTTTGTTGTTTTTATGTCAGTTTGTGTTAAATTTAATAACTTTTTGATGGCTTTGCGTCGGTTTAGAAGAATCAAAGCCATACTTCATCTCTGTCAGTCATATGAAATTTTATGTTGATTGTTGACAAAACTAAGTTTTTTAGAAGTTTTATTCTAACTTTTTTTTTCATTAAGACGCATCTCGAAGCGTTTAAAGTTGCTATGCATAAAAAAAATCAAAGTCACATATGGTAGCTATTTGTCATTGAGATAAGAAATTCTACCAAATTTGATAAAAATTCACGTAGTGGCTACCAAAGCGGGACTTTGACACTCAAGTGTTGAGGTAATATTTGCCTGAAATTTTTAAAATCTGCTTTCTTTAAATAACTGTGTTGACATTTGATAGTGATACTAAATTTAGCAAGTCCGATAATTGTTACTTTGTCAAGTTTGCGTATCTTTGCCAAAAATTTCTATGTGGGTATCCACGTTTGAAAAAAAAAAAAAACATTTTTACGAGATTTGACGGCCAAATGTTGGAATAGCATTTTGTTTCCCTTTGTTTGGAAAAACAGTTTTGCTTGTGATTAAATACAGTTTCGAATTTGAGTTAATTTTCTAAATATTACAACAACATTTATTTTATACATGGGCTTACTTGTTTTTGCAAAAGCCTAGTTTCACAAGTCACTAGAATAATTAAAACAAATTTTATTGTGTACGCAACACATTACATAATTTGCCCTGATCATGTTTGTTTCTGAGGTCGTAAACTTGTGAGCTATTTCGTTATGATTGAGTGTTTTTTGTGTTTTTGATTAATCGTTTTTAAGACTCGCAGCAAATACTCATTTAAATGCTTAACCTTTAATATAAGTATTTTTCATTTATTGACACTTTCACGTCTTGATCTTTAAACCAGTGGCATAAAGTTAACAAAAATGCAAGAAAAACAGTTAATTTATACAATTCGTATCGTGTGTGACGTTATTTCTTAAGCTAGGTTTAAAAGAGAATCGATATGAGTAGATTTTGTTAAAAGCGCACCGAATATGGTAATTTTAGACAGTTTAGATATATATTAATATTAATTAGTAGAACTTCCAATTTTAACGGCATTAAATGTTGAGTTTTGACATTTTTTTTTAAATATCGTTAGTTTTAAAATGATCATGTGTATATTTATAATATTATAGTTGAAAAGCTGAAGATTTGAAACAAAATTAATGAAAAAAGTAGTATCTAATATTTCAGAACACTGTCCGGAATGTCGCGGAAACCCTTAAAAGTGCCAGAAAAATATTGAAAAAAATTCATTCTCACTTTTGGGCGGAGATATGTAATCTTAAAGTTGGATCTTTTGGAATGTTTAACAACAAAATAACGTTTCATTTGTCACAGTAACTACTAATGAGACCTTGTTAGAAAAGAAAAACTTTCACGAGTTTAAAATATTTAAAACTCGTGAAAGACTTTCTTTTCTAACGAAGTTAAGATGGAGTTTAAACAAGTAAACGCCTCATCAATACAAAACAAATACTAATGAGACGTTCAGTTCGTATTTCTGTTCCTCATAGTAATGTTTAATCACTCGTTCCCTCGTAATGGACGACGTTATGAATGTTTATTTTTTAAAAAAATTGGTCGAAGTGTATTTTGACAGAACTTCCCTCGCTCCTGAAGTAAGTTTGCTTTTGCAAATTTTATTCTTTTATAACCCTTATAAGTTAAAATAAGGACATGTGTATAGTAAAGTAAAGGTAGGTAAGCAAAATATTTGCATGCATCAAGTGAATTTTTCAATTGCAAAATTTTGCGATGACGTCATCAACATTCTAGCAAAGACACCTATGTCAATTTGGATAGGTCAATTGTAATACTATAAGAATAACGGAACTATATTCCCAAGGGGAGTCGTTATTGATTTAATTAATAAAATTGCCTCATTCATTAATTTTTTTGAGTTATACCGAGTAAGCAGTTCTTCATAAGGTGTCACTCACAACAACCGTACTCACCGAAATATCAAAGAAATCAGTGGGATTGTTAACGACTGCTTTGCTATGGAGGACTCGACTTTGCATTGATGCA